AATATGGGTTTGTTACACTCCCCCTCTACTTCACATAAAACGTCCTCGCATGTGAAGTAGGATCATTGCTACTTTAATCTTCGTAACGCTTAAGCCTTCCGCGCTTTCTAACTCGTCTGATGGGCACGGGAAGCCTCTCTATTTGTCGTTGATGATAGGGTTTCAAATCAGTTACGTGATATTGTCCAATTGACTCGTTTGGCTTAGTAGGATTTGCAAGTTCATAACTGACTGGTGGATGTAGTTGCAATATGACGTAGGGTCCATCTCGTTTCGGAAAAAACTTAGAAGTAACTGCTTTGCTTGCATTACTTAGTTATTAGTTTTCAGTAGGACGTAGTCACCTATTTTATAATATGATGAATTGGGTCGGCGTTTTTTATCAATTACCTATTTCTTTTTGACGGCCTTGCTCTGTTTCCATTTTATTTTTGGCTTCCTCTAAATGATTGCTCAGACGAAGCAGATAAGGAGTTATGATAGGGACAAAATTCTCCTGCTGTATAATTACTCGTAAGTCGTAGGAAAAATCGTTGGCTGTTTTGAGTTATCTTCCAAAGGTTAGGAATGCTGCTGTCTGCCCTGTATTCTGACAAATAGCAGTATTCATTGCGAATCGAATAGCGGCTAAATATTGGTCTCATGTGGTATGGTCGTCATTCACCAAAATTGCAAGCCGAGGTTTAAGGTCCCTATATTCTTTCGTTCTACGGGGTTTGAAGAAGGGTGGTAAAATGAGGTTAATCTTTGGTCGATTCCTAATACAGTACACACATGTTGCAGCACCTCGCTGATAAATTGAACGCCATTGTCACTGGTCATTGCTCTAGACACGCCATACTGGAAAAACACTTCCTCTATGAGCGTCTTTGCGGTTGTCACAGCGGTTGCATCCGGTAATGCAAATATTTCTATCCACTTCGATGTGATGTCTTCTACTACAATCAAAATCCAACGATTTCCTCGCTCAGTCTCAGGCAAAGGTCCAAAGTAATCAACTGCTATTATTTCGAAGCGGGCGGATTGTACTGGTGTCTGTAGTAGACCAGCTGGCTTCAAATTCGACGGTTTGTACTTTTGGCATTCCACACATCCTTTAATGTATTCAGCGATATATTTTCGCATGCCTGGCCAAAAATATCTTGAACGTATTCTTGCCATTCCATCATGACACGCCGTATCGGAGTCATGATACTCTGCTAAAACCTGGCCTCGCTTGTTTGCCGGTGTAACTATTGTGCTTCTTCTGCATCACTGTCTCGAGAATATCGGTACAACACACCTTTACCAGTCAGTCCATAATATGGCCCTAACTCGTATTCCACAACCATAGCATGTAGGAGTAACTTTTTCTCTCTTATCTTGGCCTCTTTCTTCGTTTTTCTCCCCAGGAAGTTCATCTCTTTGTTTGGTTCTGCATTCTTCAACCTGGTGTCCTGAATGTTGACAATAAGCACATTTTGGCCTTACACGATTTTTATTGTCACTTGACCTTTGTGTATTTTGCCTTGAATTCTTATTTGTGGTTTGGGTTTGAATTTCTTCAAACATAATTTCAATGGATCGGCTTCGCACCAGTAAGTCCATGAACGTTTTTATGTCATCTCTAGAAATTTTATCTCTTATGCGCCTATCTAATAAGCCGTATACCAGGTCTAGGCAGACTATTTCATCTAGTGTATGAGGCAACTTGGACAAAATAGCTCTGGCATTGCAAATAAACATTTCCGTCTTAAGTCCATTTTGTGCTTGTGAAAACAACTGTTGAAATAACTTATAGGCTGGCTCCTTTCTGCCAAAAACATCTCTAAGCAAGTGAACGGCTTCATCCCAACATGTGATTGGAAACGTTAGCGCAGCCTTTATAAGTTTCCACTGCATCGATGAAGGCTTCAACAAAAGTTGAACGAAGCAACTTGTGCATTTAGTGAAATTGCCTTGTTTTCTGAAACCGAGCACTGGCTCTGACTTAGTAGCGGGTACATTGGATTGAGCTGAGGTGAGCACAGTGTTGATTATTTGCTGAAATTGTTCATTACTTAAAGTGACAGTGTTTGAACTTATTTTTGAGCAAGCTTCTGAGTCTGCAGTCGATTCACCAGTTACTCTTTTCTTAGGAGTCATGATTTAAGTTTTAGTTAGTCGAGTAAATGGTAAATAAGTCTATAAATCTGCACTATTTAGGGACGAAGACTTTAAATTCGGAGTTCAATAAATAGAAAACCTTGCACTATTGATGAAAGTTTTTAAAGATTAAAGTTCAATAAATAGGAATAACCGCACTATTCATAAAAGTATTGAAGTTCAGATTTCAATCAGTAGGAAAAAAACAGCACTATTTATGAAAGTCTTAAAGTTCAGATTTCAAAAAATAGGAAAAACAGCACTATTTATGAAAGTCTTAAAGTTCAGATATCATGGAATAGGAAAAACAGCATTATTCATGAAATAAACAAGCAAGATACTTACATACAAAAACAAAACTTGCAAAGTTTGTGGAAACTTTCCAGAGTCACTTCACCAGTTTATGACACTTTTCTGGCCCCACGTTGGGCGCCAATATAACAAATCACTGTTAACACAAGTTTCGTCATGTGGCGATAGGTAATTGGTAATATAGGTTATATGGAGATATAATAAATATGGGTTTGTTCCATTTTTTAATTATCTTGAAATCACATCGTAAAAATTGCACTTTGTTGAAGAGGGTACCATCAACTGGTCAAAAAAAAAAAAAAAAAATACTTCAAGCAATCAGGGCGACTGCTAACTTTCAAGATTTATTGAGCAGGGTTTTTTTTATCAAACAAAACAAATCGTGAATGGCTCAGCCTCAGAAATGGAATTATGAATTTTTTCTCACTTAGATGCAAAAAAATCTTGTGAAATTTCTATTAAATCATCTTTGGAAGCTTCTGAAAAATACTTCAAGCAATCAGAGGGACTTCAAACTGTCAGGATTTATTGAGTAGGGTCTTTCAATCAAACATAACAAACCGCGAATGGATCTCAGGCTCAGAAATGGAATTATGAATTTTTTCTCACTAGATGCAAAAAAATCATGTAAAATTTCTATTAAATCACCTTTGGCAGCTTCTGAAAAATACTTCAAGCAAGAGGGACTTCAAACTTTCAGGATTTATTGAGTAGGGTTTTTTTTATCGAACAAAACAAACTACGAGTGATTCTCAGGCTCAGAAATGGAATAATGAATTTCTCTTACTGAGATACAAAAAAATCGATAATTTCAATACTTCAATACTTTTATCAAACTTTGGCAACAAAGTGCAATTTATACGATGCAATTTCAAGATAATTAAAAAAATATATAAATTCTTGTAAAGTAGAAAAATCAGGCTTTCTGACAATGACAAAATATACAGGCAGTATTATTTAAAAAAATCGCATGTTTGTTAAACCAAATTTTAGAATTAGACAATACTGTAAAAAAAAACTTTGAAAAATCCCAATTCTCCCAGAACAAATCACATCTCATCTTTTCACAGATATTCACCTGCAAAATGTGTCAGTTTATGCCTAAGGACACCCTGTATGTGATGCAAATTTTGAATAAATCACTTGTATATTATCAAAGTTGTATTACAACTTTAGGCCATCGGATGCAAATGGATGAAGCTTTAATATTTTAATCTTTCTATTAATATGTGGTCAATTTAAAATGCACTTGTGCTGTAATATGACATTTGAACCTTAAATCATATCCATTACATGACAAAGAAACATAAAACCGACAATTCTTACCTATAAGTATCAGTGTAATTATTCTCGGCGAGGAACTGCGTATCGCCAATTCGTCTACTAGAAACAGCTCCAATATGGGGCCGTCCTTCCCATATAAAGATGTAATAAATTGACAGTAAAATTGCCGTCATCGATACGCTGAGTACGTAAGCGAGTACTGTTAAGACCCTGAGAGCTTTAGGTTCTTTTTTCGGTTGAAAAAGGTCTTTAGTTAGAGATTCGGGCGACTCGCCAGTAGTGGAACTTTCTGGCATTTTTTATATGTAATTGGAAGTTACATTTTTCTGAAAATTATTTTGGTAAATGTAATAAAATATATTACCTTTTAAAAATTATTTATCAAAATCAAAGCCTATCTTGGTTTACAGGTTTTGAAGAATTCCACATTGAAACCCCAAATAATGTTAAGTAATTTAAAAAAAAAAAAATCTTAATTGATACTTACCAAAAATTACACGAAAATCTTCGACTCATAATAACATGTGTCAGCCATAATTCAAAATAACTCAAACTTTTAATATAATTTGTTATTTTAAGGCGCGATAGATGGATGTGATGCGTCGGGACGCCAACATTGACCGTGAACAACGTCCGACACACAATTTTGGCGAACGTCGGTTTGCTTTTTATGTAGTTTTTGTAACACATGCGCTTCTTCCTGATGATGGAATTACAACGTCGCGACGCTAAATTAAATTGTGTATGTGAAGGAAAGTTAATTATTTTTATTAATAGGTGTTTTGCAAAAATAGAGGGTGTGCGAGCTACAATTTGGTGCGGTATAGTTGAAATACGGATTGAAGAAAAATACATACTTTATTGTTTCAATAATCTACAAATCATTTATAGGTATTTAGAAAATGAATAGTAGTAAATATTTTAACAAGAAAAATACAAATCCCAAATTATGTCTGCATAATATAACTACTAAGCTAATTTTACCATAGTATGTAAAATAATATAAACTGGAAAAAAAAATAGTAAATTCAATATGAAGCTGAGCCAATAAAGTTGACCCTAAACATGAAAATAAACTCTTAATTCAAAAATACATAATACATACTTTAATTACTACGTCAATGATTAAAGTCTAACAATAACTATTATTATAAATCTGTTTAAAGTACAGGATCACAACAATTTTTGAAAATATTAACCAAATATTTTTCTTTTTGTTAGATGGATCAATATTATGCTAATCTACTTAAAGTTTAAAAAAAATACAGATTATTCAATATTTATGGAAGAGAATCTTCTAATTCTATGCAACGGATAACGTGGTTTTCTACAGCGGTCAAGGTTTTAAAGCCAAAATCGCACTTTGGACATTTGTAGATGAACTCTTCTCTCTGGAAAAAAAGAAAAATACAAGTTTGACATGGAACGACATTCTCATTTTTACAATAAAAACCTTGCCATGTTTGTTGTTAGTACAAGTCCAAAATTAAAAAGAAAAAAAACGGCACTCAGAAGACAAAAAAATGTATTAAAGATGTTCTCCCGTAATATTTTGGAGAAGTGGAGCAAGCTCTGAAACTTGGTGGGTCTTCAAATTTCTTCTCTTTAATTTTAGTAGTGTTTAAACCCAACTTCTCTGATTGACTTTGGAAATGAGGCTGTGATTCTCAAATTGATTAATATGTGGTTTCATTTAGTAACTGGGACTTATCTGTGTACAGTTTTCTACAAAATAATCAATTCATTGTGGAAAGTTGTCTTTCTTCCAAGAAGTTAAGCAGTACATGCGTCCTGCCATTTCTGTTGTATCTATTCCATCCCATTTTATTTTCTTTTGCATTTGTTTTCCTTCCTGGGTTTTTAGTTCTATTACTAATCGTAATTTCGATTTTTTTAATTCTAGATCTACATCTTCGTGATTTTTAGATAATAGTGCGTAATAATATTTATGTTCAATGGGCTCTTTCACTAATTTTTGAAATTGGCATATTTGGATAAAGCAACTAAAAACAGAATTTTCTGTATTTTTACTTTTGAAAAATTCAAAGTCCTTCTTGAGAAAACAGAAAACAAAGAAATACCTCCAAATAAAAACCCAGAATTTATTTCTATGACGTCGCAGCTCGCAATTTGACCGTGTTGCCACTAATTGTCAACATTGAAAATTTGTAATAGATTTAATTCTGAAATGTTGGCAAAATCTCATGAAAAGTAGTTAAATTAATTAGTTATAGATTCAAGATTTTATAATTTTTTTTTTTTAAATTTTGCTTAAATACAATTTAATGCAATTTTTTATGTTTAGTTTTATTTATTTATTTTACGCTGCACTACATTTAGTCACAACCGACAACAGCGCATTCGAACCTTTACGTATCTTTACAGAGCGCAAACACAGCCGAGCCCTTCCTCCTTGCAACGACATAAGCGAAATGAAGAATATTTATGTGACGTCGGCAAATCGGCGCGTTTTAAAATAGTTTGAATTTAGGCACTTTTGATTGCCTATGAAAAACTTATTGAACCTTGTAGAACATTTTTTTTTTGGTATATATGCCTAAAATAGTCCCTCCTTTGAGATTTTATACTTAAATTACGTATTTAAATTTTAGTGAAAGAGCCCATTCATTTTAAGTATAATTGGGTTTGAGTGGAGCTTCCACGTTATTAATATCAGGTGTCTTAAAATAAGATGAGAGAAATAGAACCCTTTTCACAACGTTACTCTGCGCTAAGCTTTTAAGAAAATTGCTTTTTGCATGGGAGAATCGAACAACTAAGGATTCAAGCCTGTGGAAATGGAGCATACTTTTGTCGCAAACAGAGCAGACATGAAGGAACGGTGATTTCATGAAGCAATGAGCCTATTAGAGAAACAGAGGAGTCATTGGTCTTTGGTCATTGTGAAGGATGTGGCAAGAAACTTTTGGGGTATTAACAAATAACAACTAATGTAAATTGTCTGTCTACTCAATGGTTAAAATTAACGTGTTTTTAGACATTTTTGAAATAATTTCTACACAACCCTAATGAAGTCAAATTTTTATGTATCACCCAAGCTGACCTTCAAAAATCATATGAATGTGATTTATTTTGCTGACAGAAGAGGACAGACTCAGGAAGGAGCACACTTCCAAAAATTAGGAATTCTTACACTTGCATATTGTACCAATTCTACGAATGAATTCCAAAAAAAAAAAAAAAAAAAGTAAATAACACCATTTACCTCTCAACCAACTTTTTAATCTAAAACTGTACGTACCAGGATAGTAGAGTGCCAGTTGAAATTATGCTTCCTGTTGGGGGCAAAGTGTCACAAGCTTAATTGTTAATGTATTAAAAACTAATATTTTGGAGATTCCAAAACCGAAGGTAATACAAAATTAGACCATGCAAAAAACGAGATATTGGTGCCATTGTATATGACCTCAAAATTCAAAAAGTCCCATTATAAGTAACGCAGATCATGAGCGTCGTTACGAGGTTTCACAGGGGGGGGCAGTATTATAATAAGACCATTTCCATTAGCGCCGCAGGCAACCGCCGTAGGCTAATTTTTTTTTTGGTGCCACGCCCCTTTTTGATCATTACTTGAACGTACTTATTTGATATCGATATTTGTTAAAAATGATGGTATTTTTTTCCGCAACAAATTCACTGTCCGCATCATTTGTTTAGGTAATTTTACAATGACCGGTATTATAAAGCACTGAATCGATGAATGAGTTTCATGCAAATTGATAGGATTCAACCGAAGGTTGGAACTTGAAACTCTACCATCGGTTCAGTGTTTTATAATACCGGCCCTAAGTCAAGTGAAATTCAATAGACCTATCTATTTTTACCTGGTATGCGCGCGCAACATGAGGCAATGACTTTTCATTGGCTAACTAGTACAGGTGAGAGGTGTTCGTTTTGCACGCTGGGCATCTCCTCCTTGTTCATTGCCCGTGGTCTGACAAGAATAAAAGTACGATTGATAATCAACTTGACATAGCTTGACAAGTAACATTCAAAAGTTGTTTGAAGTTTTCATTGACAAATACGTTGCACAGCACGCGATCTTTCTCCTTCCTTTTTTATCCCGTGCAAATAAGAAGAACGGATTGCTGTACGTAAGTCTGACATAATTTGGTACGTTTTGCCTCGTCTTGCGCAATGAGCGTTCTGTGTCTTTTTTTATCTCATGAAGTTTTCGTATTATTACCTCTTTGTCTGGTAAAATAGATAAAATCTGTTTTTTTTTTTAAAGATAATTCCCCAAGTCAAAAATTTAGTAACTATGTTGGCAACACAAGCCTTTTCTACATGAAAAATTTGATAGCATTGTATTGCCAACCTAATGTTAGTTTGACTTTTATCTTTAAAAAAAAACGCACTTTAGGTCTATTCCGTTGAATGTAATGAAAATGTCAGCCAATTTTTCAAAGTACAGTAGACTCGCGCTAGTGTGAACACAAAAAAACCGGACGTGTTCATATTATCGAGACGTTCACATCATCGAAGGTCTAAATACCTAAAAATGCAAAATATTGTCAGCAATGGTCTCTAAACTTAAAATTCAAGAAAAATTAATACCGTAGGTACTTGCAAACCTATCCATTAAGTAAATTTTCCCAGTTTATTGATTAAAGTGAGATGTAATTTTTGTCTAAATGGTTTTACCTGAGCATTGGATGGTTACCTACTTTGTCTTAAAGTTTCTTAGGCTTTCTGTGTCATTAGCGCGAATATATGCTATTGCCTTGCTGGCAATCTTCTAGAATTTTTGACTTCTCATAAGGTCTCTGACAGTTTGCAAACTGTCAGTAACAATCGCTCAGCTAAGTTACTGAGTTATCTTGGAATGACGGCATTGAAAACATGCAGGGGCGATGCATTCTGACAGTTTACAAACTGTCAGAGACTCTTGTGAGAACAGACCCATAGAGAGTTGAAAAAATTGTGTTTTTCGCCATTTTTACAAAACTGATTAACCACAACAAACAACGAACTGAAGATTTATAGAATTTTGAACGTGCTCTTGACGCGCTGCCACTTGCGTATTCCACATTAGAGTGAATGCAGTAACTCAACATATCTGTGCATTCCTTGTCCCAAAACCTTCGAGGAACCCCATGATTGGATGGAAACAATCGATAAAAACAACAAGTAGGCAGAAAACGGTTAAATTCGTAGTCAAATACATTGTTCATACTACCGATATTCTCAAAAGTTCACTCTACAGAATATGTATAATGCATTCATTCTAGCTGTTCATACTACTGGGAGGTTCACAGAAGCGTGTGTTCACACTAGCACGAGTCTACGACGAGTCTACTGTACCTAACAAATTTTGAAAAAATGGAGAAATGCAATACGAACTCTCTTTTACTGCTTTCTTGTTCAAAAGACTATTTCTAGGGGGGGGCAAGTGCCCCCCCTTGCCCCCCCCCCCCCCCCCCAAACGACGCCCATGACGCAGATATGTTATTTTAAAAAGAATTGGGCCTCACAGCCCCAAAAAAACTAAAAAGTATTTTTTTGGTTTCATCTGTAGAAAATATTGTACCTTCTATACTATTTTTAATACCTATTTAGAAGTACCAGTCGTTCTAGTGACAAAACGTCTGTCGCTTCTTGAACACACAAATAAAATTAGGTTAGGAATTTCCTATTTGTACATGAAATTGACGTATTAGCAATCGACGTTCGTTTTTGTTGGTAATTTTTTGTTTCATCCGATTCGCGATTGATGAATAAGGATGGGGTTATTCTAAATGGGTATTAAAAATCCTATATATTTACCCTACAATATTAGTTAAACAAGCTTACAAAACAATAAAAGTTTCTAAAATGTAGGTATCTAGACTATTATTTTTATAATTATTATTATTATTATTATAGCTCGAAACAGGTAAGCGACATATCCGATGAAACTGTTCTTTCATTTAACGATGTACAAAATCTACCCATGACACTGACACTGCATTTGTTCATAACGAGCCGCCCATGTGTCGCGGATTCTAGATTTTACGCCGATGTTCAAGAACAAGGTCGAACGCGGTTCTTCCCGAATTTACGTGAATTAATTACGGCGATATATAAGGACGGGTTTTAGCTTGTAAGTTCAAGTTTCAGTTCGAATGTGATACGATTCACATAGTGATTATTGTAAAGTGTTTAATTGTTGAGTTAGTTATTAAAGTAATTAGTGTCAGATTGTATTGTTACGTGGAATAAATTATTGCTGTGTTAATTGGACTTTGATTTTTGGAATAAACGAAACGAACCCAAGATTTCTGTCACGCAAGCCAAAGCCGTGACAGTACTTATTAGATGGTTTTCTCACCAATCTATTAGTTAAAAAGTTCCTGCTTTTTTTTCTATCAGATCTCCTCTTTATCTGAGT